GGTGGTTGTACTTCCTTACGTAGTTCGGTGGAATGAAGAAGTTCATTTTATCGGCCTGCAGAGGAATGACAAACAAAAGCCTCTCGATGTCTGTGGGTCATCCGAAAAAAGTGTGCTGACCGTTCATACCACTTGTGTGTCCTGCAGCTGCCAGCAGAGTGGAGGAGGTTCAGAGGGCGAGTCCGGAGGAACAGCAGGAATATCCAGAGCACAGCGCTCACACCCGCCCCCCGAAAGGCCAGAAGAAGCCAGGTGCGTAGGCATTTCCTATGTAATGGGGCCCCTATCACGGGATCCAGAGCACAGCGCTCACACCCGCCCCCCGAAAGGCCAGAAGAAGCCAGGTGCGTAGGCATTTCCTATGTAATGGAACCCATCACGGGATCCAGAGCACAGCGCTCACACCCGCCCCCCGAAAGGCCAGAAGAAGCCAGGTGCGTAGGCATTTCCTATGTAATGGGACCCATCACGGGATCCAGAGCACAGCGCTCACACCCGCCCCCCGAAAGGCCAGAAGAAGCCAGGTGCGTAGGCATTTCCTATGTAATGGGGCCCTATCACGGGATCCAGAGCACAGCGCTCACACCCGCCCCCCGAAAGGCCAGAAGAAGCCAGGTGCGTAGGCATTTCCTATGTAATGGGCCCTATCACGGGATCCAGAGCACAGCGCTCACACCCGCCCCCCGAAAGGCCAGAAGAAGCCAGGTGCGTAGGCATTTCCTATGTAATGGGACCTATCACGGGATCCAGAGCACAGCGCTCACACCCGCCCCCCGAAAGGCCAGAAGAAGCCAGGTGCGTAGGCATTTCCTATGTAATGGGACCCATCACGGGATCCAGAGCACAGCGCTCACACCCGCCCCCCGAAAGGCCAAAAGAAGCCAGGTGCGTAGGCATTTCCTATGTAATGGGACCCATCACGGGATCCAGAGCACAGCGCTCACACCCGCCCCCCGAAAGGCCAGAAGAAGCCAGGTGCGTAGGCATTTCCTATGTAATGGGGCCCTATCACGGGATCCAGAGCACAGCGCTCACACCCGCCCCCCGAAAGGCCAGAAGAAGCCAGGTGCGTAGGCATTTCCTATGTAATGGGACCTATCACGGGATCCAGAGCACAGCGCTCACACCCGCCCCCCGAAAGGCCAGAAGAAGCCAGGTGCGTAGGCATTTCCTATGTAATGGGCCCTATCACGGGATCCAGAGCACAGCGCTCACACCCGCCCCCCGAAAGGCTAGAAGAAGCCAGGTGCGTAGGCATTTCCTATGTAATGGGACCTATCACGGGATCCAGAGCACAGCGCTCACACCCGCCCCCCGAAAGGCCAGAAGAAGCCAGGTGCGTAGGCATTTCCTATGTAATGGGACCTATCACGGGATCCAGAGCACAGTGCTCACACCCGCCCCCCGAAAGGCCAGAAGAAGCCAGGTGCGTAGGCATTTCCTATCACACACCAAATGGTTTGTATTCCTGTCTCTCCAGTCCTGGGATTTACACAGCTCTGCTACGCAGCTCACGGTCTGTCATGGCAGGAGACCCGATTCTCCTCTGACACCCTGAGCGAGGTGCCCAGAGTAAGTCCTGTTCTCTGTGTCAGTGAGAGCAGCGCCATGTCTGATTCTGCCCGCCCCATAGACGGCTGTGACATGCAGAGGAGACGTGGCCACACACAGAGCCTACTAATCCTACAAACTTGGTTCCAACCCGCTTTCCCGCTGCCCTATAGTAGAAGTGCTGCTACAGGACGGCAGGACTGCGCAAAGTCACGTGTGTGTGTATATAATGTGATTTGCACTTCCGGGTAGGGGACGCACACGCCGCCATTGGTGGCTAGGGATGTCGATCACCGAGTCCCGGCTGGAGATCCCCCGCCAGCACTGGTCTCTCTCCTGCCAGCAAGGACATGCTGCTTTGTATCTCTGCACAGCAAGAGTCTCAACACACATCACACAGTTAACCCTTTGATCGCCCTCCATAACTCTCCTGCCAGCAAGGACATGCTGCTTTGTATCTCACTGCACATCATGTCTCCCTAGTAACACAGCACACAGTTAACCCTTTGATCCCCCCAGATGTTAACCCCTTCCTGCCCAGTGCCAATAGTGCATGTGTTCAGCCCAAGGCCAATCATCACTGTCCAGACAGAGGGTCCTGCAGCCTCATAGGACAGTCAGAGAATGAAAACTCCTCCTACAAGATTAACCAGAGCTCTGCTGGACACTGATAGAAGTCACAAGACTGCTATATACTGCTGATGAGAAAAGGGATTTAGCAGTTTATATTTACTTAAATAATTGCATTTCCATGTTGTGTGTACTGCTGGGGGGGGGGGGCCAGATATAGTGAAATGTCCGGGGAGAGCGGGGATGCGGGTAGTCCGGGAGAGGGGAGCGGAGAGCGGATATATAGTGAATGCGGGGTCCGGGGAGAGCGGATATAGTGAATGTGGGGTCCGGGGAGAGCGGATATAGTGATTATAGTGAAAAGCGGATGCGGGGTCCGGGGAGAGCGGATATAGTGAATGCGGGGGTCCGGGGAGAGCGGATATAGTGAATGCGGGGTCGGGGGGGGTTTAGTGACACTTTTTAAAGATCAAGTTTATTTTGCTTCCAATAATAATAATGTTTTTTTTTTTTAAATATAAAACCTTTACATTTTTCTTACATTCTTGATGTCTCCACTGGGTCTCTGTGCTTCTCTATGCAATGCAGGCCATGGCTGGTGGGAGGGGCCAGAAAGAGGCTGTACATAGCTTCCTGAAAACATCACAGCACCCTGCCTCAGTACTTCTCTCATAAGCAGTGGGCTGGCTCTGGGGTGGAGTTATGCAAATATCAAACTGCTGTGATGGGCGGGTGTCAGTCTAGAGCAGTGGGTGTTCATAGGCAGGCTGCATTTGCAGTCTCCAACTAGTGAAGGACTACAGGTCCCAGCATGAACCCCCGAGATTGAGAAGGAAGGATGTGACATCCCCCCCCCAATTAGTAAAAGACCACAAGTCCCAGCATGAATCCTTGATCTGAGGATGTGGTAACAAAAACCCCCCCACCCCCCCCCCCCCCCCAAATTGGTGTACTGCAAGTCCCAGCATGAACCCCTGAGATCTAAGGATGTGATTTCCCCCCCCCCCCCCCCAATAGTACTACAAGTGCCAGCATGAACCCCTGAGGAAGTGACCCCTTAGATCTCACAGGTTCATTCTAGGACCTGTAGTCTTTTACTAGTTGGGGGGGTCACATCCTCAGCTCTGAGGGGTTCATACTGGAAACTGTAGTTTTTCACTTTTGGGAGGATCACATCCCCCAGAATTGAAGGACTACAAGTCCCAGCATGAACCCCTGAGATCTAAGGCTGTGACTTCCTCCTCCCATCCTTCATCTGTCCTCATTGTAGGTCTCTGCGTGGCTCCCTCAGTCATGACACACATGGTTCCATCCCGGCCTCCCTCCCCTCACAGGAGACTCCAGTCCCCTTCCCCCTGAGCAATGCCATTGCAGATGCTGGGGGAGTATTGCGGGGGTGGAACAAGCACACGCACCGGACACGAATACCCGACTACTGTCTGTGAGTAGAGCAGCGCTGCAGGGAATTAGATCGAGCCGTGTGTCCCTTCTGCATGGGGGCGGCGCCACTCTCCCCCCAAAAAAAATGCTGCCTTAGGCAAGTGCCTTGTTTGCCTCATGGTAGACACGCCCCTGGGAGGCGGTACACCTGTTCAAGACTGAAGGGATGGGGGAGGGATTTATTAGTTTCTGTCAGAGGGTGAATATTTTGTCTTTCCTACATTGGAGTGTGATCTGTGAAATCCGTTCTCTTCCAGCGACTGATGCAACCCCCAAACCGGCTGCGGAAAGGCAGAAGAAAGTGTACGGCCCCGGCAAGGTCAGTGTCTATCCTGAGTCTCCTGGGGTTTCGGGGTGCAGACCAGAGTGTCATATCTGTGTGCACAGGCAGTCTCACCCGTGGCCATCAGTGCGGCCTCACCCGTGGCCATCAGTGCGGGCTCACCCGTGCCCAACAGGTGCGGGCCTCACCCGTGCCCGTCGGTGCAGGCTCACCCGTGCCCGTCGGTGCAGGCCTCACCCGTGCCCGTCGGTGCAGGCCTCACGCCCGTGGCCGTCGGTGCAGGCCTCACCCGTGGCCGTCGGTGCAGGCCTCACCCGTGGCCGTCGGTGCAGGCCTCACCCGTGGCCGTCGGTGCAGGCCTCACCCGTGGCCGTCGGTGCAGGCCTCACCCGTGGCCGTCGGTGCAGGCCTCACCCGTGGCCGTCGGTGCAGGCCTCACCCGTGGCCGTCGGTGCAGGCCTCACCCGTGGCCGTCGGTGCAGGCCTCACCCGTGGCCGTCGGTGCAGGCCTCACCCGTGGCCGTCGGTGCAGGCCTCACCCGTGGCCGTCGCGTGCAGGCCTCACCCGTGGCCGTCGGTGCAGGCCTCACCCGTGGCCGTCGGTGCAGGCCTCACCCGTGGCCGTCGGCATAGGTGTTTAGGTGTACAATTGTGTCCACTGAAAGCTCACGTGACTTGATGGAAAAGCAGGAGCACTACTGGAAGACGGATAGGAACTCCTACCCGGAAAATGTCTGAGCAAAGGGTCTTCTGGCAGGATCACCCGGTATTTCAAAGCGGGAAATGTAACATGAGCCAAATATTGTTTGACAATTTCCCCATTTAC